AGCAGCATGGATCAGTGTGAGGACAGAGAGGAGGGAGTCCCTCCCTCTACAAGCTCTCTGTGTGGGGATCAGGAGAAGCAGAGCAAAGCTCAGAGGTGAGACCACCATCTCTACCTGTCCATGACTCTTGTGCATGTCAGAGTCAGCATCACATCACTGCTGCATCTTTATTCACAGGATCCAATCTGGACCTGGAGCTGGACCTGAACCGGGACCTGAACCTGAACCTGAACCTGGACCTGGACCTGGACCTGAACCTGAACCCAGCTGTGTGTCCTTGAAGAGCGACCGGTCAAAAAATCGCTGGATTCATTTCAAAGAACGTCAACCTCCTGCTGTGAAGAAGTAAGTCATAAAACATTAGAACTGACTGTCGTATCAACTCTATTGTTTGTTGTTTCAACTGTATTCCAACAATAAATTCCTCTGAAACGCTGTGAACCCTTTATAGGACACTCATTGAAATACTTGGACATTTTAAATTTCAGCCCTTGAATGTTATTGGTGGATGTAAGAAGACATTTTTTCTTTTTGGACTTTTTAAAAAAGTTTCAGATTTAGGCTGAAAATCAAAGTCAAAGTAGTTGCCAAATACAATTTGTCACCCACCAAAGAAAAAAAAATCAAATAATGTGCTGATAATTAATTGTAAAAAAAATACACATATAAAGGTGAAGGAACATTTATTTCCAAATCATCAGTCAGACTTACGCAACTTATGACACTTGTGTCAAAATACCACTCTGGCTGACCAGTGATTGGTCAGAGGTCACAGTGACTTCACTTATTGGCTGGATGAAGTCACATGATTCTGCCCCCTGCCATTTTTAAAGCCAGCAGAAGTTACCACATCTGGTTCCTTCCCCGATAAAGGGTTAAAAGGTTCGTTTTGCCTGAAAGAATCTAAAATGATTTTTCCTTCCTGGTGGTTTTCTTCTCTATTTGCCAGAATCAATCAGAGACCAAACTCCTCTGGACTTGGACCTGGACCTGGACCTGAACCCAGCTGTGTGTCCTTGAAAAGCGACTGGTCAAAAGATCACCCCATTAATTTCAAAGGACGTCAACCTCCTGCTACAAACAAGTAAGCGGTCAAACATTCTCCTTTGTGACGTTCCTGATATGTTCTCATCTGTTAGGAGTGAGCTCCTAGATTACAGGAAGTGGCACTTAGGTCCTTTGGACCTCCCTCCCCTAGGGTGCAGTCCCAGGCTAGACCCCTTTCCACTGAGGTCTCCACCCAGGCTCCTCTGAATGGACAACTCAGCCTTCTGCTTCCCAGTATTTTCTTTTCAAAAACACTGACCACAGAAGCACTACTCGCCTACTAACTCATTCGGTTTCGGCTTGTAGTGGCCTGACTGTACATTGAGCTGAGTGCGGCGGCCTCCACATGCATGTGGACCATGGTCTTACTGCCCTCTGTGACCCGACCGGCCGGTGACCCAGTCGATAGCGATCCCCAGTCCATGGAACAGGACCTCGTAATGGTTATTAGCCACCCGGTTGGGAACCGACGGTCTGATCCCTACCCCATTTCGCTATGGGCTATAGGAACTTTGACCGTTTTCACCAGCCTTGCCTGTTCACAGAGGTCGCTGTCCACGTGACAGGAAACCACTCACCACGGCAGCGCCCCTCTGCTAGGTGTGGGCTGTCACCCACGTACCACGCCTGGCCTACACACCTACATGCGACCAGTGCGCCAACTAGACGGTACAACGGCAGTATGTTCATTCATACTTCATCAGACATGGGGACCTTCAGTTCTCTCCCCTGCACTATATCACATCTTTATCGTGCCCTCGGAACTTTGCAATTCCACCGCCGCCTGTTTTGAGCCAGGTTCCAGTGGGGGGAAACCTGAAGGCCTGCTGCTGAAGGTTAACTCGAGATGGCTGGGCAGGAGAGATGTCAGGCTGAGGAGGCTCGCTCATATGGGAGTGAATCCTCTGGGGCCGCATCACGGGGAGAAGCCAGCTTAAAAGCAGCGCAGATTGCTGATAAGGGACAGGTGTGGTGGATAACGAGCGAGTGAGTCCTCCTCGACCATGGCCCCACCCAGCCTGAAAATGCAGAGCACAGCAAAACTAGAACACACACAGGAAATACAACAACCAAAATAAAAGCTAGAGACTAGAACCCCAACATCATCACGTCTAATCAAACATTAATATTGTACATTTCACATGTTTTCCATCTTCTCCAAACTGTTGCATCAACTGTTCTATTAGTTGTTCCAACTTTACACCAACTAGGTCAGTCCATGTATTTCACATAGCGTCACTTCAGACAGAATTCAGGAAACATGATGCTGCACCTTC